AGAGAAGGGTCTAGGCCCGAAACATCAGCTTTCCTGCTCCTCTGATGCTGCTTGGCCTGCTGTGTTCATCCAGCTCTACACCTTGTTATCTCAGATTCTCCAGCATCTACAGTTCCTACTATCTCTTCCATTCACATGAAATTGATTTTGTCTCAACTCCCCAGCTGGCAGACAGGAACAGTATAGGAGCATGCCTGGCTATATTAAAACTATATTTATACAGTCATACCGCATGGAAACAGACCCTTTGGTCCAACCAATCCATCCGACCATGTTCCTAAACTAAACTGGTCCTACTTGCTTGGCCCATATCCCTCCAAACCTTTCCTATTCATGTACTTATCTAAATGTATTTTAACTATACCCGCATCCACCACTTCCTCTGGAGGTTCATTCCACACATGAACTTTAATGAGATGAAGAAGGCTGCAACATATTGCAGCATTGTTACAGCGCAGGGGGAGGCAATTCAGACCATCATGTCTGCACTGGCTCTCCAAAATGAGGTGCCATTTACCCATAACCCACCACATCCTTCCTTTACAGTTTCCCTTTTGAAAGCTTCCACTGAATCTGCCTCCACCATACTCTCAGGCCATGCCTTCCAGACCACAACCACTCACTGCATCAGAAAGGTTTCTCCTTACGTCACTTGCAAAACGTTGAATGTCGACTGTAGTCTTAAAAAGACTCAAAGCATCCAGTTCAAGCCTCTCTTATCAGAGGCAGGGAAAGGTGATAGCTGTAACTTGAAGTGGGATAGGGTGTGCCTCAGATAATAAATCACCCCCAGCAGGAGTTTGGAGAAGGACCATAATCACAAGAGCCAGCTGATTCTATTCTGCTCTTTCTCCCTTCAGCTTGTTGAATTCAAACACCTTCAGCATGATTGGAGATGATGCGTTCAATGGTTTATCTCATCTCCAGTACCTGTAAGTCCCTGCCATGTTTCTACATTGCTTTACACAGATTTAAGGAAAAGGATTCATGCTGAACTCTTCACCACTGCCGCCCCCCTCTTCTCTGTCTGTTCACAGATTCATAGAGAACAACAACATCCAATCACTCTCCAAATACACATTCCGAGGCCTCAAGTCTCTCAACCATCTGTAAGTTTCTGTCTGTCTGTGTCTCTGTTTCTCAGTCGCGGTTTCTCCATCTGCCTATGTGTCTCCCTCTTTGTCTGTTTCTCTGTCTCTGTCTGTATTTGTATCACTGTGTCTGCATCTACTTGTACCTCTGTCTGTATCTGTTTCTGTCTGTCCGTGCAATATGTGTCTACCAGTTTGTGTTTCTCTGTGTCTGTGCTGTGAGTGTGAGTGTATGTGTGTGTGTGTGTGTGTGTCAGTGTGAGTCTATATGTGTGTGTGTGTGTGTGTGTCTGTGTGAGTGTATGTGTGTGTCTGTGTGAGTGTATGTGTGTGTGTGTGTGTGTCTGTGTATCCGTTTGTCCCTCTGTGTGTCTTTCTGAATCAGTTTCAGTGTTAGCTCGACTGTTGTTGACATTGTTGTGTTTCTGTGTCTATCACGGTGACCAATTTGACGTTGGGAGGGTAGGAGTTGCAGAGGGTGCTGCAGAGCAACAGCAGGAATGGCTGCTGTGTACATTGAGGTGGGGGTGTGGGAGTTGGTGTTCAAGGCAAACAAGAATTCTCTTGTCCAATCAGATCATATCGTCAGCCGAGTCACAACCTCACAGTCGCCCTGAGATCGGTGGAACTCCATCCCCCCCGATGGCCAACAGCCACAGTGAGCATGGTCACAACATAAAAATGGGCCAAGCCAGGAAGTGAACATTGTCAACGTTGACTGAAATGATGATATTTACGAAGTGCCCTCAATACATTTTCCTCTCTGTCTCGCTCTCTGTCTACATGCCACAAGGTGGCACTGGAGTTGTGATGGGGAGACGCCAGACGGTGGAGGGCACAGACAGACCAGACCTTCTGAGGGTGAGGGGGTGGCAGAGGGCACAGCCACCTTTGTAGTGTCCTGAGTGGAAAGTGCATGGGGCCTGTGTGTGGTTCCTCCTCTGACTGGGTAGCATCCTGGCACTGCCCTGTCCCCTTGTCGTTATGACCTTGGTCCTGGGGACCTATGGTTAGGGTGGTGGAGTGTGCAGCAGACCCTGAGGGTGCCAGAGCTGGCACACCGTGGCAGTGCCAACCTGTCCATGGAGGCAGACGGAAGATTCGGATGGATTCACTGCATGATTGCAATTTCAGGGCCACTCCTCCCTTTAATCCTCCCTGTGCAGTTGTGGATCCACGTCCCTGTCTGCCAACACCGCAGGGTCCTCTCCTGCCTGGGGACTGATGCCTGGTCTCTGACGGTCCTCCAGGTGCCAGCAACCTGGGCTGCCACAGTGAGGTGCTCCCTCCCACTTTCCCACACTCTCTCTCTGTCTCTCGTTCCCCCTGAGCTGTCAGTAGCTGAGCTGCAGGGAGGCAGCTTTGCTGATGCATCACCTGAGGCCTCTGCACCCACGTCCTCAGAGACCCAAGAGGGCAGTTCACCCACCAGCTTGAGGTTGAGGGTAAACCAGTGCAATCAAGATTAAAGAGGTGTCCCGGCCAGTGAGGTACAATGATGGAGAGTGACAGCGGGGTTATGTGAAAGTTGGGTAGATGGAAGGTTGGCAGTGACATGCAGGATGGCACTTAGTCAGCTGGCAGGACATGGCTGTCTCAACATCCCTGCCAGAGTGGCCACAGTCTTATTTCTGTTCACTCATGGGACATTGGCATCGCTGGCTGGGCCAGCATTTATATCCCACCCATTAAGAAGGTGGCAGTGAGGTGCCTTCTTAGAGTCATAGAGCCGTAGAGGTTTAAAGCGCAGAATAAGGTCCTTCGGCCCATGTGACAGTCAAAAGCAAACACCAAATGGTTTTAATCCCATTTCCCAGCAATTGTCCCATAGCGTTGGCATCACAAGTGCACTCCTCAATCCTTCTTCAATGGGATGAGGGTTTCTCCCTCTCCCACCCTTACAGGCGGTGAGTTCCAGATTCTCCACCAGCCTCTGAGTGAAAACATTTTTCCTCACCTCTCCCTCTGAACCTCCTTCCCCTTCCCTTAAAGCTATGCACCTCCACTCCCCCCCACACCACCCCCCCCCAACCCCGGGTCATTCATCAAGGGGAAAAGTTCCTTTTTGTCTCCCCCATCTGTGTCCCTCATCATTTTATGCATCTCAATTGTGTGCCCCCTCAGTCTCCTCTGCTTTAAGGGAAACAACCCCAGTCCATCCCATCTCTCTTCATAACTAAAGCTTTCCAGACCAGGAAACATCTTGGTAAATCTTCTTGAATCACTGCAGTCCCTTTACTATAGACCCACAGTGCCGTTAGGGATGGTGTTTTGGGATTTTGACTCAGCGACACTGAAGGAACGGCCGATGTATTTCCAAGTTCTATGTTCTATGTTCCATGTTCTAAGTCAGGACGGTGAGTGGCTTGGAGGGGAACTTGCAGGGGGTGGTGTTCCCATGTACCTGCTGCCTCTAGATAGGTTTGGAAGATGCTGCCTGAGGGGCCTCGGTGAGTTGCTGCAGTGCATCTTGTAGATGGTACACGCTGCTGTTACTGAGCGTCGGTGGTTGGGGGGGAGTGGGATGTTTGTGGATGTGGGGCCAATCGAGCGGGGGGGGCTGCTTTGTCCCTGGATGGTGTCGAGCTTCTCGAGTGTTGTTGGAGCTGTCCCCATCTGGGGCATGTGTGTCTTGTGTCTGTCTGCATCAACATTTTGACTTCCTGTGATATTCTGTCACATTGGCCCATCTGCCAGTGCTTAAGACAATGCTGTTTCTGAAACTTGCTCTACAGTCAACACCCATGATGATTAAATATGCCACCGTATTGTCGGGATTGTAATGTGGTCAGCCAGGTGGACCCCACTCAATGTGAGTTCCCTGATTGGGGCTGTTAACCGGGTCCAGTCAGGGAGCCCTGGCTGACAGATAAAAACAGGAGTGTCAGAGAATCTGTTCACTCTAAGAGCTGGCTCTGAGGGAGCTGGATCAGTATCAACAACTCTCCACGTGTAAATAAAGGGTGACTTGATGATAGGATACCAGCCTCTGTGGAGTTATTTCACACAGCCCCGATTATTTCTTGACTTTTTAATTGTGCAGTGTTTAATTGTTTGATAATTTCCCTTCCGTTTCCAGATCACTGGGAAACAACAATCTGCTAACTCTTCCCAGAGACATCTTCATGGATCTTCATGTCTTGACACATTTGTGAGTGTTTTGTTTCTTCATAGCTTGAAAACTACACAGGTCCTTCATTTACAAAGCAGAATTGTAGAAAATCAGAGCAGGAGCAGGCCATTCGGCCCTTTGAGCCTGCTGATCATCCAACTTTGTACGCTGTTCCTGATTTCTCCCTTTGATCCCTTTAACTCTAAGAACTCCTTCTTGGAAAATGTCCCATGTTTCGGCTGCAACTCAGGTCCTGTGGCAGAGAATCCCACAGGATCCCCTCACTCTCCGGGTGAAGACATTTCTCCTCATCTCAGTCCTACCCCGTATCCTTAGACTGTGACCCTTAGGTTCTGAATGTCCCCAGGTATTGAAAAAGGTCCTTCTTGCGTTTACCCCTGTCCAGTCCCTGTTAGAATTTGATAGATTTCTGTGAGATGCCCCCCTCATTTCAAAACTCCGGTGAATATAATCCTAACCCGATCCAGTTTCTCTTCATCCATGAGTCCGTGCCCTCCCAGGAATCAGACTGGGAAACCTTTGCTGCAATCCCTCCATCGCCAGGATTTCCTTACTCGGATAATGAGACCCAAATCGCCCACACAATACTCCGTGGTGCAGTCTCTCTCTGTCCAATTGCAGCGAGACATCCCTGCTTCTGTACTCCAATCCTCTTGCCATGAAGACCCAATGTACCAATGAACTCTCAGTGCACAATCTGACTTGTGCTTCTTTGCAGGGATCTCCGTGGGAATGCTTTCCATTGTGACTGTAAAGTGAAATGGCTGATAGAATGGCTACAGGTGACCAACACGTCAGTCCCTCCAGTGCACTGCACCAGCCCGAGCAAGTATCACAATGTCGTGGTCAACTATCTGCCAATCAGGGACTTTGACTGCGTCAGGACAGGTCGGTACTGAATGCTCTGCCCACAAACTGGCCCAGACATAGCGACTCATTCCTTGTTGGTTCGTCCTTCCCTGACCTCACAGCGGGTAGGAATTTCGCGCTCTCTCATTGAAGGATTAAACCGTTCAGCATTGCGGCTGCCATTTCAATCAATTCAATCAGGGGATGCAAAGTCAGGGACAATTCACGGTGAGCATCAACCGCAGACTGCTTTAAAGATCAGCCTGAGCATTTGGTAGGGACAGTGTGGAGCGAGCTTTACTCTGTATCTAAGCCCGTGCTGTCCCTGTCCTGGGAGTGTTTGATGGGGGACAGTGTAGA